TTTTTTTTAATTTTTTTTTCAACGTTTTTTATTTATTTTTGGGACAGAGAGAGACAGAGCACGAACGGGGGAGGGGCAGAGAGAGAGGGAGACACAGAATCGGAAACAGGCTCCAGGCTCCGAGCCATCAGCCCAGAGCCTGATGCGGGGCTCGAACTCACGGACAGCGAGATCGTGACCTGGCTGAAGTCGGACGCTTAACTGACTGCGCCACCCAGGCGCCCCTCACAAATCTTGACACATCATTAGGGTAATATTAAATTTGCACAGTACAATATGAAAGGAAAATTTATGCCATCAAAGAAGAGAATACTGTCCACAGAAAAATTCATTATCTGAGAATAATGGGAAGGAATCTCAATTCAGATTATTTGCATAGTAGATGGCCAAAAGAAAAAATGAGCCCAATATCCATCAAATTCTTCTCTACTGTTCCACCAGAGGCATGCAACCCTACTTCCTGGCTTCATTATAGGTTCATGCCATCCAGCTGTATCTTGAGCAGTCACATGGCTCATCAGTCCCTGGCTGCATCTTTTGTCAGCTACTCCCATTTACAACTTCACAATTATTCCATACCCCTAATTCTGTCTGATCTGGTTCAGTGTTTTTTTACAAGGCCTCCCTAATATGAGAAACTTACTCTCAGGAGCACTGAAAACCTCTCCAGGCTCAACTACCCCTTTGCCGTAGATTCAGTTTTCACAGCTTTGCTTGCATTGTATACATCCCAAAGACCGATTCCTGACTCCGGCTGCCTCTGGACATAGCCTTCAATTTTTCCTTTGCTTTTGTGTACCTCGAGCCAGCTGAGTAATTCCCAAGTTGACCCTCAGCTTCCAGAACCCAATCCTGAGAAGCCCTCATCTCAGCTTTCCTGGGAAAATTCTTCTGCCTGCCTCTCACTAAATAATGCCCTCATATTTTTCTAAAATAATCCAAATTGTTCAACAGAAGCAGAGAAGGGAGTGTCCAGCATTATTTTCATTTCTCCTTTGTCCAACTGAGTCAGAGCTGGCTGGCGCTTAGCCTCAGGAATACTCACAAAAGAGGCAGGGCTCAAATGGAACAGGTATTGTTCCCTAATTGGCAGGGCAAGTCAGGCCACACAAGGAGACCAAAAAGCAAGAGAAGTAAGTCACTGCCCCTCTTAGACGTAAGGTTTCCTGGGTGGATAAAAGCTTTGACAGACTCTAATTTCCTTTTGTTCCCTCTTTTCCTTCCTTTAAAAACAGGTCATTTATTATTAATTATATGTTCATTTAACATATATTTACTGAGTGACTACTGTATTCTAAGCATTATCCTAAGCACTCAGAGAAGCCCAAAATAATGAAGAAACAGTCAGGGAATTGAGAGAGACCAACATACAAGAGTCCTTGTTATTTCAACTGCACAAAAAAAGATGGCGGAGTAAAAATGAGGAGAGAAAGAAGTCAGTCAGACATTAAAGCAGTAACTAGTCCACTTAATATTCTTAAAGAGATGAGTCCACTGTTTGTGTTTAGATGGTATAACTGAAGACCCAAAGAAATTAATGATCACAAAGATGAATTATCGTCATACAGCTGAATTGTCATCATAAAGATGAATTGTCATCGTAAAGATTCATCTTTGTTTGTAGTCATGATTGAAATGATTTAAGGGCCCAAGGAATTTTGAATCCTCAAAGTTCAAAAGCTATTAAGAAGATTTTAGATAAAGTACTAATCAAGTGAACAGAAATGAGTTTTTTTCATCACAGAAAATAGCAAAAATAAACTAGCTTAAATTTTACTCTCACATTTGATTTAATTTACCTGTAAGGAATTAGATCTTATTTCCCTAGATTGATTCTTCCAGTTGTATGTTTACTGACTGACCTGTACTACGAGAACATATTTTTATGACACTCCTGACATTTCTATAATACCTAAAAGAAAAAAATAAATACTTAAAAATAAGTATAAGAGAGAAGAAAAATATGCTTTTAGTAAATCCCTAGCACTGGTCAGTGAAAATAATGCAACTGGCAAAATCTCAAACTTTTTTTTTTGCCAAATATTACTGATAGAAATGCCAAACTACAGAATTAAATAAGAACTACACATGAAAAAAAAATGGTCAAGTAAGATAGAATAAGTCTGTTCCAACAGAGATGGCAAACAGTTCTCTTGTATGACATCTTTGATCAATTGGAAGTGCTTGCCCAGGGTGCTGTGTTGAAAAGAATTTGAAGCCAAGTCCTGGCTCAGCAGGAAAATTGCCATGATTGATTAGCAATGTCTGTCATGAATGGAATCTAGGGGAACAGGAACACATGGGCCACATATTTGCAATTCCTGGTTTTGTACAGAATATGTGTAGGAACTGTGTTTCCAGAAAGATGAGCTGATAATTAGAGGCCAGAGACCAAACGGCAGATTTTACTACAAAGTGACTCTCCAAAAGGACATTTGGTTCTAGGTTAGATCTCTTCAAAAGCAGTCATACAACCCAACATTTCTTCCTGGAGGACAAATTTATCTGGTAATGGTTACACAGTAATGCATTTTGCTAATGAGGAATAATTTTGGCAAGAGGGAGGAGAAGACCCAATTTATCATTATTTTTACAAAAATTATAGACTCCAAATAATGAAAAATTTGGAATGAACAATGAAACCATGGATATAATTCAAGTTACCCTTCCTTGCTTCCCGGGCGACACTGAGCATGTTCTTCAATCTTGCATTTGTTGCTCTGCACACAGGAGGATAATAATACCAGTTACATTTCAGGTGAAGGAAGGCAAAGCAAATGAGTCAGCATAAATCCACAAAAGGTTTTGCTAAATCTGAAGTACTGGAAATCCCTTCCCCTGTTCAAGTGGTAAAAATGAAATTCCTATCCCTAAAATGATAAGTCTCCTTGAAGGGCCAAATCATGAAGAAATACTCATACTCTTACCTCACCAAGAGAAATGTAGAACTTTTTCATTATTGTAACATTTTCTTCTTCAGTGACAGGTGGTGGTGGACTGGGTGGTTTTTTCAGGACCCAGGGGGAAAAGTCTGCATCGAGTGTAATGTTCATGCCTGCTCTGCTCCATCGTACTTGTGAGACCAATTTGGCTAATCTGTGTTTTAGGAATCATAAAAACTTGAAATAACTTTCAAATATGGTAGAATTCGGGAAAAAAAAAACTAAATTTTATTTTATGTATTCAAGCCAATCTCCTAACTCTGCACAATGATTCTCTTAGGATCTGCTAAAATTAATGGCTTATTCACAGAATTAAGGATTATTCTGCTATAATTTATTTTATTTTATTTATATTATTTATTTTTTAAATGGTGGTTCTAAATATAGGTCAAATTTTACTTAAATTTAAGGAATGTTTAGGTACTTACTTACACATTAAAAGCCAGAGAACATAAAAGAAAAACTTGGCCCACTGTGACATTCTTTTTCATGACACACTTATATTTGTTTTTTAACAGCTTGCACATAAATACCGTTATCACAAGTAGATAATTTTAAAAACATAATGATCAAGGAAGCACAACTAAAGTACATTTATTAGGTACTGTTTCTATGGGATCTCTTTGGAAAAGTTAAGTGATTTTTACAAATGCTCTATCACTTGCATACCATAGCAGGTAGGATACAAATGCAGTGGGTTTAAAGGTATACAATTTTACTAAGAAAGTACAGGAAAAATGATTTTAGGTGAAAAAAAATCCAGGCAATTAAAAAACGTGTTTGTTGATGGGACTACAATACCTGTATTCAAAGTAGCAATCACTTTCCAGAAATGCTGGAAGTCTTTCTTTTTTGATCCACTTAATACCTTGTTCACGACTGAGACACTGGGAGGGGACAAGTGAAAAAGAAAATGAGTCAAAGACAGTCACCTTTCAGGACAATGACGGCCTAATCAATAGAGCAATAATGACCTCCAGCTCCTTCTAGGAGCCCTGCTTCTACCTTCTTTTTGCACAAGAGAGAGCAAGAACCTCCAATAACATATCTGAAGCCATTGCTTGCCTTCTAGTATTTCTTTAATTCTCTCAACAATCCTGCATCAACTATTAGTCCCATTTTACAGATTAACAAACTGAATTCAGAGAAGTTAAGTAATGTATTGGAGAAGGAGGTATGAGAAAAAAAGTCACTTTCAGTATTTTTGCAGTCATAGAATGGTTAAAAGTAATCATAAACAGGAAAATAGTTAACCAGAATCTTGATAAGGCCACTATGGTCACTACAGTCCCCTTGTCCTTCCAACTTTAGGAACTTTGGTTAAATATTTACCATCCCCAGCCACTCTCCTGGAGATACCAAGGTTAGCAAGAAAGCTAAGGCCCTGCCTTGAAGGAGTTTCCAGGTAATTCAGTAAACAATAATAACAGAGCACTACCATAGGTTCAGGTTTCTGTGGGAGGGCACATAGGCACTAAAACCAGCAAAGGCTTTTCCCACAGAAGATGCCACTCACTCTTTCACCTAACGCATGATTAGTCTGGTGAAGAGGGGTGGGCAGGAGAGGAAACGAAGAGAAGCATAGTATGACTAGATCACGGGGTGAGATTAGAGGAATGGAGGGAAGCAAGCTGGTGAAGCAGGCATAGGCCTCACTGTGAATCATCTTTTAAGTGACAGTAAGGAGTTTAGACTTTATTCTGAGGTTGCGAGGGCCATACAAACTCAAGGGAAGAGTTACTGAGTTGCTATTCATCCTAAAATATTTACTCACCATTGATTCTCTTCTGTCTTATATTCACTGTTTTCCAGAAGGCTAAAGAAGGTCGGTACTTTGAACACTAAACCAATGCTACTAGATAAGGAAAACAACCAGTAAGATGCACATCTCAGTGAGGCAAGGGTGTCTGTATTTATGTGACTTCCATTGATTATCTGCTAAAGCAACAGGTGTGCTGTGATATTAATATCAGTCAACACAGACCATTGCTAACTCCAGCGAGGAGGCTAAAGGCTCACATAGTAGTACTGCCAACATCAGATGAGCTGACATTCTTTTTTTTTTAATGTTTATTTATTCTTGAGAGAGAGAGAGGCAGAGGCAGAGCGTGAGCAGGGGAGGGGCAGAGAGAGACAAAAACACAGAATCTGAAGCAGGCTCCAGGCTCTGAGCTGTCAGCACAGAGCCCGACGCGGGGCTCGAACTTGTGAACCACGATATCATGACCTGAGCCAAAATCAGCCACTCAACCGACTGAGCCACCCAGGCACCCCTGATGAGCTGATGTTCTCTAGCGTGCACTGGTGCTCAACACTGCTTGCATGTGGCATGAAGTCATTAGGTTCTCCAAGACCAGAAAACTGAAGGAACGATGCTTTCCTCCTGTTCAGCCAAAAGCACCCATTTGCCCTTACCGAAAACTATCTTCCAGGTAATGACAAAATAGAAGAAACTTTGGAAGCAGCCAGCACCTGAACAGTAACATCTTGTGGATGGTCTTATTGTTTGGGTGAAATCTGAAGGACATTTGGATCTTGTAGTTAGAAAAACTCCAAATATGTCTCCACATATGCTACACACTGACAACGATACAGGACTCTTGAATTTTCATTAGCAATGCATTCAACGTATCACAGAAAGGCACCAGACTACATAGAAAGATCAATACACACCCTTGAGGAATACTACAAGCTTGTGAAAGCTGGTCAGTCACACAAAATCAATTTGCCTAATATTTACTTAATGAACAGGTCACTGACAACCCATCCCCTTTTTTTTTTTTT